AATAATGGTTTTGTCCAACACCTTTTTTACAATTTATCCCAAGCAACACTATGAAGATTTAAATCCTGGATTTACAGTATTCACTTTCGAGATGCGTGCAGTCACAATGTAGTTTAAGATATAATTTTCACATGAACACTTATTTACCACAGCACAAATGCATGTACCTATTCATGTAACATTAAAATAAAGTGGAAACAAATTGCATAATTTGGTATATAAAAAAGTACAAAATGTTTTTAGTTTTAATTCGACATTGGACTACGACTACGAGGAAAACAGTGGTTCATTCCACTTGCACCATATTGACATTATTATGCACGATGCTCGTTCAAACGAACATCAGAAAAGTGTTGCCAACTTAAGCTGACTACTATTTCCCCCCTAGCCTCAGTCACCCCCTCATCCATTTACTGGCTCTATGTCGCGACCCCCTTAGATATACCAGCCCTGGTTTCTCGATCTTTTTATTTGCAATTAATTTATATTAGTGATTTAATTTTGGGCCTTGATTTTTCCCTGCTTTACGTTAGAAGAACTAAAATGTTCTGATACAGTTACCGGTATTTTCAATAATTCGTCTATAATTATAAATAATGTGTTAATTTAAATGAAACTATATGAAGTCAATTTAATTACGAGTATTAAAGCAACAAAAATAAAAGAATAGGTGGTCCTGTGGTCAGCGTTCTTGCCATCCACACGGAAAACTCGAGTTCGATTATCGGATGAAGAAAAATGAAATGAACTTTTTCTTTTTCTTTTTTCGTTGATTTTATTTTAAAAGTTATAAAATGTAAAATTAATTATTTTGTCTTAAGTCGTGCTCAAATTTCGTCTTCGTGCGATATAGGCATCATATCCACGCTTGTTGCCCAAACTACTATTTTACACAAAAATCAATGCCAAGCTTTGTACATAGCCTGATATATATTTAAAAATAATCTCAAAATATAAACAAAAGTCAGCTGACTATAACTAATAATATTTATAAATGGTTTTTAACTTATTAAAAACAAAACAAATATTATTACAATAACTAAAATATTCATTAAAAGTTGTAGTGCTTGTAAACAGTATGATATTGATAATAATAACTACACTTAATATAAATCCAAATAATATTTTAAATATTCAAGTATTCTTTTCACTGAAATAGACTCCAAATTCTCTGCCAAATAAATGATAATCCTAGTTTCATCTGCATCATGTATTTAGCTTTTCCCGGTCATCTTGAACTAATTTTTCTGGCTCAAACTCTAGATGTTAGTTTTCTTAGAGTATTGTTCCGTACTTTATTAACCACCCATTAACCCATTTCTTCCAATGTAAGGATGTATTGTTTACAGATTCTCCATGCCAACTCAATCGGATTGTGCTGAAAATGATATACACATAACCAAATTTATATGGAATCACTGTGTATTTCTGAATAAACTTTTTGTAAGGAAAAAAATTTGGTATCCAACTTTAAGATAAGGCTTTTAAACAAACATGATAATAAAGAAGAAAGACTGCTGCGATTTATTTTCTTGTGAAGTTTGTGTTCAGAAGTAAAAATTTTTTTTCGGTCCAAAAAACAACAAAATGCCTTGTATTAGACTAACAGATGTGCAGAGGGGAAGAATTATTGTTCTCATTGAACAAGGAATGTCCCAATGAGACATAGCAGAGGTAGTAGGCGATGCCCAGGGTGTTGCATCGTAAACATATGAAAGGTACTTGGAACTAAAGACTCTCAAAAACAGGCCCAGACAAAGTCGTCAAAGAGTCACAACTGAACAACAGAAACGCTTTGTGTGCCAAATTGCTAGAAGAAATCCCGTGTTTCTCATCCAGAGTTACAACGACAACCTCCGGAAGCTACAAGTGTGAAGTTTCAGTAGAAACCCTAAGAAAAAGACTTCGCACTCGAGGGTTGTATAATAGGAGAGAGTTACCGGTTCCACCGTTATCTAGACAAAATAAAATTGACCGGCTAAATTGGTACCTTCAACACCAAAACTGGAAAATTGAGAATTTGCAAAATGTTTTTTTTTTCGGATGAGACCAGAATTAGCCTAAGATCAGATGACTATCAGATTCGGGTTCTCAGAGCTATAGCAAGATGAGCGAGACTCCACGCAGCTAGATCAGTCCCAAGATATCAAGATATCAAGATATCAAGTAGGAACTGTAATGTTCTGGAGAGGTATTATGCTGGGAGCAAAAACTTCATTATTACCACTTCAACAAACTTTAACCGGTCCGAGGTATGTTGATTTAGTGCTAGAATCAATCGTTAGACTTTGGAGAGCTGCAATTGAGGATAATTTTATCATTATGCACGATCATGCTCCTCCCCATACCAGCAGAGTGGCTAGAATATGTCTTGAAACGAAAGATGTCACAATTTTAGACTGGCCTTTATGTTCACCAGACCTAAATCCTATCGAATACCTGTGGGACCAGCTCAAAAGAAGAATTGGAGGTCGTCGAAACAATGCAGAAAATATCGCACAACTTATTGATGCAGCATTAGCAGAATGGGAAAACATATCCCAAGACAATGGTGACAATTCATTAGGAAGCTAGAGGTGGTAACACGGATTGTTAAAATTACCAATTTTCTTTTTGCTTTTAGGCTATTAAAACTTTAAATCTCATTTCGTTTCAGAAACCAAAAAATACCATTGTGTTTATTTTATCAACTAATTGATTATTTTTATTGCCATGTGAGTTATTTGTCATTAAAAGTCTTTGGTAAGAATTGACTGTCATACATCTCAAAAATTATGAAAAATAATAGATAATTCCATATAAGTTTGGTTGTGTGTATTCTTGTATCTTATTATTTAGCTCTTCTTTTTTTCTTTTTTACTTGGGTTCTTCAGCGCAGCATTGCATCCAAAGTAATATCAAGATATTTTGTTTCCACCTAGGGTATTTGGGTATTATTTGTTTAAACTGGAAATATGGTGTTTCCTCTTATTTGAAAAATTTAAATTTTTATTTACAGAATAATTTTATTTAATTCGCCAACTTACTAATATTATTAAGATAGTTCTGGAATTTTCTAGGAGCATCTTCATGGTCTTCTCCTACTATCAAGCAGGTAGCATCTGCAAAACTGCCTAGTATATTATTTTCTAGTTCCGAAACATCACTAGTGTATAGTAGATACAGAACAGGTCCCAATAAACTTCCTTGTGGTATTCCTGCTTTTGGTTTCTTTAAGATCAGAGTAAAGTTATTCCTGCTTTATTCGAAATACTCTATCTGTAAAGTCCCTGGAGTTATACTAAGAAAATAGTAGAACAAACTTTTTTTTCTAATGATTTTTCAATGATGTTAGTTAATGGTCGAATGTTTCTTTTCTTCTATGATGGATTTTGAAATTATAGGAAGTAAAGATAAAACTTTGTCAAAAAAAGTGAAATGGCCCACTAAACACAAAGGTCGCTTTGTCATTAAACTGAAAATAAACCGCTCTGGATATGTGGAATAAACAATTCCTGAGAACGACATCGGTGAACAACAAACATGGAAAACAAGATTTGCAGATTAAGATAACGAGCACGTGTTGTTATACATTAACATGCAAACGAATTCAGTGGTAATAAAAACATAATCTAAATTTGTGCCGTAGTATTAAGTAAAATATTTAAATGAAGGCGTCAGAAGAGAAGATGTTTCGGTAGCAATTTGTGTCTCACTCACTTTTGATCGCTTTTCCAATGCCGGACATATTTTAAACTCGCTCCCAACTCAGTTATGATAATCGCGTTTCTATTCGACACAACTCAATTTTAATTACATTTTCTTTAATTAATATGCTAATCATTTTGCATAGTAATTATTGAGAGCAATGTAGCGCGAGCTGATGTCGCTTTGATGTATCTCTCGCTCTGCTCTGCCTTCCTTCTAGTCGTCGTCGCCGTCGTCATCGGCGTCGGTCGGCGTCGATTTTAGACACGAGTTTACACGTCCGTGATGGTGCTATGATGCGATCTGGAGCGTCTCGACGACGATGTTGTCGCGCGTCGCCAACGCTCCCATGTTTTATTCTTGTCTATTTTTAAAGAATTTTAAAATACGTTTAAAAAAACTATATATCTCTATCTTAAAGTCCAGTATTTGCCACATGGAAAAACCACTTATTTATTAGTAGAATTAAGATTAATTATGAGTTTTTGGGTTCCAAATAGGACTTGAACAAGTCTTTATTACAAATGCATAAAAAAATATAAATACAAACATATTAGAAAAAGTATTATTTTTAATATAAACTTTTACATTTGTTTTTTAATTTTCAATAAACGGTAAACAGGTTTAATTTTTCTTAGAACATTGTTTTTAATATAAGAATATAATATAATTATAATAATACTCTCCCTAATTCACTCCTTTACGAGTGAATTTCAACCCCTGAAGTTGACTGAACAGTTTGTGTAGAGGAAGGGACGGCTATTAATATTATTATTATTATTATTTGCCGTGGCGCTCCGAGGCGACTTAAAGATGATTGATGGTGCCATTTGACTTACAGGTGAGGAACACCTGGAAAACCTCATCCACCATCATTTTAGAACGGTTCATTTCCAAACAGCGTTATGGACCCATAAAAAATGTATTTTTTATGTATTAAATCTAGGTGTAGAGTGTGGAGCCATATAAATGAATTCTCCATTTTTTCTTTCAAAAATGTCATCTCTACGTTGTATATTTTCTATCTTTATTACCCTTCCAATAAAAAAACAGCTCTTCATAGCATAATAATATTCTAATTAAATATCAATATTATTGGGTTTATGTTCAGATGTATCTGGATATATTTATTATTTTCGTCAGATGCGAACATTTCTGATTCGTCTGAAGTTTCATTATACACAATTGATTTATCTTCTGATGTTGAAGTGTCTTCATTTAAAGATCTCTTTTTTTGATAGATTTTAGTTTTTGTATTCTTCTTTGCTTTAGCCTACTTTATTGTTTGCAATTTATTTTGTTCTCTTTTCTGTTTAGAAAGAAAGAGAGATGTTTCTTTTGGCTTTTGTAACTGAAACCGTCAATGTTGGCCATCTCATGGCCTTTGAAAACGGAGATTCTGTGTTAGAAGCATCTAATTGACCTGTTTGTTGAATACTGAGGGTATTTTCTTCCAGGGTTTGTTGCACTATCACTACATTGGTTTTTGCTGACACATTTTCAGATTTCTTTACTTCTTTTGAGGGTTTCCTGTGAATGATTAACTTTCCATTCAATTAATTGTGATAGGATGCATTATCCAAAAAATAAGTGAGTTGACTAGAATTTTTTTATAATGTCCTGAAACCAATTTTCAAACAGAGCAATTAAAATACATACAATATAGCTATGAATAAATAAAGTCTGACTGATCTGTTAAAATAAAAGGTTTATTATATTATAGTAAAAATCATGGAAACATAAATAAAACTAAACGAAAGCTTTTATTGGGCCGAACAGATGCTTTAAAATTTTCATTTTAACTACAAATAAGCATTGAAGGATGAGGTATAAATAAAATGTCTATCTCTTGAACATGTATTACGTTGTACAAATTAAATTACTGCACTATTATCTTCTCTAGACTGTAGCAGTTACGGCAGTTTTGAAATCTATAAACTTCCCAGCAAAACTGTTACATATTCATATAATTTTATACATCCATATACATATTCAGTTGTTCGCTAGTCGTGTTGAGTAGTGCAGGTTTTTTTTTTGAGTGTATAGGTGACAGTCAATGAAGTCTATTTACCACAGTACTTTATAATTTCATACATATTTTTTTCTTTATTAATGTGTTTTGTGTATGCTTTGTTACTGTTTCCTAGCGTCACTCCAAAACCCTAACTAGAGAAGATTTTGAACCATTGGAAGGTGCACTAAGGCATAAAAATGTATACAAAAATAAATTAGAGATACGTGTGAATGTGTATTTCTAGGATACCTACCAACAATGTACTAAAGGTTTATGGAATATCAAAGAAAGAAGCTACTTGTAAAAAGATATTAACAATTTAGGAAATCTATTTAAAGAAGTTAGAAATGAACCAAATGAGCAGAACAATTAATATAATTTACCTCTTACCTAGTACTAGTAGTAGAAGATGAATAACATAATGAAGACAATGTGACAAGTGAAGAAGTTGTGCATAATAATATTGCCTTAACCTTAGGCAGAAGTTGAGCCGCCGAACTTTAGCAGCAAAACGTTTGCTGAAGATCGGATGCAGCTGTACTTTTGCCTAATGTAGCGCTAGTCTAAAAGTTCAATATCGCTCATGAAGTGTATTCATGGTTAGGATAAAACAGAAAACAAAAGAAAAGAAAAGATACCGTGATCTCAGAGATAGGCCCTAATGAGTAAACTTAAAAAAGGAGTAAATTGCTCTCTAAAGCTTAGTTGAGTGACTCGGAATTTGGCCCCTTTTATCCTCCTTATCTGCGTACATACATACACCTATTAACTTATTTTGGTTTCTTTTAATGTAAAAGGGAAATATTCATAATATTTACACGTTAAAATTAACGTGATTCATTTTTGGACATATTATTATCGATATCAGTGTACAATTTTGTGTAGACATAAAGAAAATATCAATGCCAAAACGGCGTCACACCGAAAACAATAAGACCCACGACCTCGCGACACAAACTAACACAATAGAAAAACTAAACTTGGAACATTAATTGTTTCGGCGTCCCGATATACGTGTGTATACACTTCGCCAACCAACAAACAGTGATACAATAATAATTGAACGAAAATAACAATTGAAACGCCCGTCATGGTCGTATTGGCATTCCTGGCCGGCTTTGCTTGCCGGGATTCGGTGGGCTCGGTGGCTCCATCTATCACGAGTGTCGACTGCGAAATTGGCATGTCCCGCAGGAGTGCAAGTCATCTTGACACACGATGTCATTCCGATTGTTCAGCGTTCTGTGTTGGGTTGGGTGTTGTCGTGCGTTTCGATGTTGCCGATGAATTTCAATTCATCGGTTTTTAGAAGTTTTTCTTATTTTATTTAATGATTTTTAAATATAATATATTGTTGCTGTTAGGATAATCTGTGTTTTGGAATATTAAGAATAATTTGGTTGTCAGGATGTTGCTGAAAGCTGGTCAATAAATTTGACACATGTCAAAACAAGAAAGTTCATATATACCGATCAGATTTTGTTTAAATCAAGCTTGGCTATGGAAATTTTATACTTTTTCTGCGTATAATTAATTATTGTTTTCTACACCGAAAAAAAATTCTTACCGTGGCAGTAAGAAAAAGTTAATTAAATATGCCCCAGCTAGAAGATTTTACCGTGACAGTAATACAAGATTTGCTAATATTTGGATTACTAAGAATTTATTCGACTGCGGCAGTAAAACTATGTTACAGCTCTGGTCAAATATTATTACAGAGGTAGTAATTTTTTTTACGGCTACAGTAAAATTGTATAACTACCACCAATATCTAGGATTACCATACCATCTAGTTGTAATGCTGCAGTAATACTGTCTTACTGCTTTGGTAAATCTGCTCTAGTGCTGCAGTAATAATTTCTTACCACTCTAGTAAAACGGTTTCACTGTTAGAGTAATAATATCTAACCACTCTAGTAAAACTGCTGTACTGTAACAGTAATATTATCTTACTACTACAGTAAAAAGGTATTACTGTTACAGTAATAATGTCTTACCAATTTAGTAAAACTGTTTCACTGCTACAGGTATAATATTTTGCCACTATAGTAAAATTGTTGTACAGTTACAGTAATAATAGGTTACTACTACAGTAAAACGGGTTTAGTGTTACAGTAATAACGTCTTACTATCATGGTAAAAATGTTTTACCAAAATATAATTTATATTAAAGGCTGAAATAGGTTTAACAAAGGTAAATATTTTTCTCATGAACTCGAAAAATAAACTCTTTTATCTTTCGCTTCAAAGAAAAATATTTACACAAAATTAAATCAATTTCAGCTAAATAAATCGATTTGCTTAATTTTTTCCTCTGGAAAATCTTCGGTCAATTTTTCATAAAAGGATTGACAAAATAAAAAAAAAAAAAAAGAAAAATTGTTTATTTTGAAATCAGCATAGCACAGCAGAGCTAAAATATTTTTATAATTTTTATAAGGTACAAAAAAAACATTTTTAATCCAAAGCTGCAGAAACGGAAGTTTACTCGAAAACCATTCGAGATATAAATGTCAAATTTGGATAATAAAACAATATCAATTTTACCATGGTATATTCTTTGGTCATACAAAATTCCTCGAATTTTTTCTTAAAATAAGATGCCTTATGCTTTCTTCATCTAATAATTGAAAGGAATTATCATCAATGCCCTCATCTAAAAATAAAAATTTAATTTGTGTGGAACGACAATTCAAGTTTAATGAAACGTAGTATTTGCAACTGAAAGTGAACTTGTTTATTGTCACTTAAGTGTTTTTATCAACAATCTACAATATTTTTATATTTAAGGTTTTTTTTTATGATTTTTATCACTAGATATAAAGCATAACCAAGTTGTTCAAGATATATTTTTTAAGTAATCTCAAATAGCAATAGGTTTTAGGAGTTTTAGGTTGTTTTTATGAGCTTTCCCGCTCAAATTTCGCGATCGCAGCAGAAAGTTAGAGACTAGAGTAGAAATGAAACGCTCGAAATTGATATGGATCGATACGATTGGTATCGCTATCGCTATGTCTCATTGAACACAGCTTTCTTTTAAATCTAACAAATTTATTGCTCTGTGAATCTTAACCAAACATTTTTAATAAATTTTAATCTAAAAACTTTCTCTTGGAAATATTACATTTTTGATACTGCAAATATGCTCCGGTGCAGTTAAAACATTTCTAGACCGTATAGCTCATCCTCAATTTGAAATAAAAGCTTTCATGCATTATGCATTTCCCGCCTTTTTTACTAATGTATAAATAAAAATGGATACAGGTACTATATTTAGATAAGTATATTATTTCGAATTACTTACCTACCAAACTATGAACTAGGTCCGAAAACCCCCACTCCGTTAACAATGCACAATATTCCATATTCAATATTATACCATTTATACCCCCAGATAGAAATTACGCAGCACTTCGCACTTCTTCATGCACGCTATGACCTAAGCTCACGATGCGACGATTGGACGTGTTGACAGCTTCTGTGATTATCGTCGACTCAAGTCAACGCCTGCCTGTGCAAGACGATATGATCGAAGCTGTTCGTCATTAATCGTAACGGTTCGGTACATTTGTTGTTAACCTGTCTTACCGTGGTTGTTAGAAAAATATTACTTTTTTGCAGATTCAGTATGCTAGTTTTACGGTGGTAGTTATAAAAATGTTACTAGTAAAGGTCTAACTGCGGTAGTAATACAAATTACTGATTCAGTAAGAAAGGTTTACTATGACGGTAATACGAATAATAGTAATTCTATTTCTAACTGGAGTAGTAAAAACATATTACTGCCACGGTAAGAATTTGGACTGTAAAACTTAGTTTACAGTCCTAGTAACAGATCTAACAGTTGTTGTTAGACAATCTAACAGTAGCAGTAAAAAGTTTTACAGCCATAGTAAACTTTTTAATAGTAACACTTTCTTACTGAAGCGTTTTCCTCAGTGTATTGAATGTTTCGAAAAAAAAAAAAAAAAACGTGATTTTCGGACAGAGAACATAAACGTAAAAAGAATTTTCTATATATTTCAAATGAACTACAAGATTAAAAAATTGCAAAAAGAACATTATTTCATATTTAATTTTCTATATTTTGTTAATATCAATAAAAAACAATGTCGTAGTCGTCCTAAAAACTTAAACTTTTTGTTCCTATATAACATAAGCGTTCTGAGTTTGTTTCATTTTTATTTGTAACAACGTCAAACTATCAGATATGAAAAAATCTCGGAAATAGATAGATTTATATATAATGAGTCTATTTTAAACATAAATATCATTCGATTTTTTTTGCAAAAAAATCATCTCATTAATGAATTAAATGCATTACATTGTTGCAATTATCTCTGGATATAGAGTATGAATATAGGAATCTACTTGGGCTATTCTAAAATTGCTATTACTGCTATTAAACCGTAATAGTAGGGGAGCCCAAGAGGGGATTTCGGATGTGACCTGAGCGTAGCAGCCTAATATTAGGGGAGAATCTTTGTACCCTGTTAAGTACTTTTACCAATGATGGTCCCTTAATATAGTGGGGTATGCCTAGGGTAGTCGATCAGATTAGTAAAAAAAAACGATCCCCAAAAAAACTCGAGCGCATCAGATTTAAACAAAATAAGTTAATTACATGCAGAAAAGAAAATATCTTCAATAATCTGACGATTTGAATGTGACATCAAAAATTGAGCGAGTCACTAGATTGTAAAAAAAATCGTTACCTTGAAATACTCGAGCGCAAATTTGGTTTTTTGCATTTTAAAGAAAATACTTGAAAAATTATAGAAATAATATATTCTGCCGATTTTCATAAGCCTAAGCACCTAAAATTAATAATAGAATGTTGTATGTACAACTACTGATGATTGTGTATTTCCCGCTCTGCGCCTCTCTTCCTTTCTCCACAGAATACTTATATATCCCAGAATAATAACGATAATTGTCGCGTTTTTAGCGATGACTTTTACTGGTTCAAAATAAGTACATAGTTATAAAAAGAAAGACAAAATTCAGAATTTTATTATAATTTTAACTCTAACACAATAATAATTAGAAAATACGATTTAATTATTACCTATAACATACGATTAGAAAAAATATTAAAAATTGTGAGTTGTATCTGTTATAAAAAAGTTTTCATTTTAATTTGATTTTTTAATCACACTCTACAAACAATCGGAGAAAAAATTATATGTTTCGCACGGCAAAGAATTAGATTCACTGCCTTGGCTAGTTTAATTGAATGAAATGCTAGCAGCGGCAGTAAATCTGCTACTTCTCTGCCTATTTAAACAAATAACTATTTATGATTAGAACATTTTTTGTTCCGGTTCACCCTTCAGGCCATCCCTGTAACTTCCCGCTAATTTCAATCAAAAAGTGCTTAATATTTTTCTTATTACATCGTTTTTGAGCTCAAAGAGCTCAAAAATAGAACTTTTGTGCTAGTTTCAGTTCTTCGACCTCAAACGGATGTCTCATTTGTACTTTTGAGCTCGAACAGCTCAAAAGTTGAAGAAACACGTTTTTCGATTTCTTTCGTTCACGATATCCCATGATGGAATCAACCGATTTTGATCGGACCAGCGGCGATCGACGTGGTTTTTCAAGGGTAAGAGCTGAATAGTTTTTGGAATCGATCGGTAAAGCCGTTCGAAAGTTATTCAGAAAAAACAGTTTCCAGTTTCCAATTTTTTTTCGGGATGTTAAAAATGTTTACTTTTTACTGTCAGATTAAAAAAATCCCTTTACAAAATTATCAGATTAAGAGTTATCACCACTAGAATATCAAGCTGAACCATCTGTATAAAATTCTGATGCGCACGAGTATTTCAATGTCACGATTTTTTTTTGCATTTTTGAGTATCGACTATAAACTTTTGGTCATGCCCAAACCGTCAGTCTTTATAATAGGATACTTTTTATCGTTTATTTAACCCCTCTTATGAATTTCTGACAAGCCCGAGAAAAATAATTTTTTCCCTAATTTCTACATCTTAATACAGCTAACTCCCACTATCAATCCGTCAGACTAATATCTCTCTGTAAACAGGAGTTCGTAGACTGTATCACGGTATCAAACACTGACGCGCTTGAGTATTTTTTTGGAACGATTTTTTTTTACATTTTTGAAAATTCGTGCACGCTCTCCCCACCACTAAAAAGATATACATCATATAAACTTTTTTTCTGTTTAGCCGTTAATCTTCACGATCTGATAGGTCTTCAAAGCGCTCGGGTAAAAACGCATTTAGCCCTCTGAGCTCCCCTACTATAACCAAATGTGTTGATGTACCAAACAAATTTGCTAAAATGTACCCAATTCTTAATATGTACAAAAGTCATATATAAATGCCTTTTGCTTTCAAAATCTAAATACAAAAAAACAAATATTACATTTTCAGTATAATATAATAAAATTGCTTTTAATAAGAACAATTTATACAGTGTGTCCAATTAAGTCGGAACCATATGGGAAACTTTTTGATTCTTAGTGTTATGAAATAGTCATTCTTTATAAAAAGTTCTGCATGGTCCAAAATTTAAAATGCAACCATCAGATATCAATTTTTTTTAAGCTGTATACGAGGTTTGTCAAAAAATATGAAAAAAATATAAAGTACCTTTATTTTTAAAACTCCTCGTATACGACTAATAAAATTTTGATATATGATGGTTGTATTTTATGTTTTAGATCATGCTCGACTTTTTATGAAGAATAACTTTTTTCTAATGTTAATAATAAAAAAGTTTATCATATGCCACCGATGGTCTACGTAAGTTGGCGGCATATGCACATTTGCACAGTGACCCTAATAGCCAAAATATTTTTCCGCCTCATAGCAGGTCGTATTTTGCCTCCCTAGGGAGGAAAAGTAAAAGCGACGTTATGGTATGTCATAAATAAAATAGCTTATACGGCATTGACGACCTAAA